CATCAGATAGCTTTTATTGAAAATGTATGTACGTGTACATTGTATGTTGGTAGCTGTCATGGTTTTAATCACTTAGTAAAACAATAGCAGCAAACCTGTGATAAGAAGGCCGAACATAGTTAGCCGTGTGTCTCGATACGGGTAGGAAAGAGTATACTGTACGCTGCAATTGATACGAGGTGGTTGATAAAACTTCCTGGGGATTTTTGTTGCATTATGGGAAAAACGGAAATACACGAGCGACTAAATTTGCATATAGAAAAAGTTTTGATTTTATGAAAAATCTAGAGTAGATTAAATATTTAAATTCGGTCATAGTCATATTGATAACTTTTCATTTAATTTGTTTCATATATGTTTGACATTGAATTCCGTGACATTCTTTATAGAAGCATTTAAAATAAAATGTTCTTTAACATTTCAATCTGAAGCCCCACTCGATTTAAAGTTTAACCACGCCCCGAGACAGGAGGAGATAAAGACAGTCTTTGTTCCGAGACATTTTCCCTTGGGAATGATAGGTTTTCTCACATCGGCAGTTTAATGAGAACCGTATTGTGTCATTCTCATGAATCTAAGTAGATAATTCGTGTTAGTTACCGACAACGTAAGTAAATATGCATGTTTTGTAACATAAACGTTTTTAGTCTCAAAGAAAAATTCTTATTCACAATTCTTTATTGCAACATTTGATTTTACTGATTGATTCCAATATTAAAAGAGGCATTTTTTTTTATATATAAGAACAGTAAACCTTGTTATAACTCAAACTGTGTTCTGGACCAATAATGGCAGTATATAGTGAATTTTAACCGTTAATTGTTCCTCTAAATTACAATAAAATTAATTTATTTCAATGACATAATAAAAGTCCTATCCCTTCAATGATATTCCCTCGTTCGATGTGCTTGGGTATCACAAAAACAATTTATTCCGTTAAGAAAGTCAACTGCGACTGTCCAGCGCGTTCAGTTTTCCCCGGCTATATAAATAGCGCGATCGAAATTGCCAGGTGAAAAAATTAATCCTCCTCTTCGTGTAACCCGATTAGTTGTTTCCGTCAATTTTCAATAAAATATAAATGCTGAAAAATCTGTTCATGATAATTCTAAATGAACGCTGTTTTCAATAGGAAAATATCCGATAATTTCAACTTTAAAAAAAATCAATACACGTTTGGACGCACTTACAATTCTTAAAACTGAGATCCAGGCACCTTGCACGTATCCAATTTAATCAGCTGTAACGGTTGAACATAGAAAGAAAACGACAGGCGCAGATATTCGGCACGTGTAGATTGAATGGTCAAGACGTGCCTGACCGAAGCTAAAATGCTGACTATTGCTAGTTTGCGTTATTTCTTGATAAAACAAGTTCAAGCCACACGAAGATTTTAATATACGTTATATAATTGAATGGACGCGTGAATGAAGGAGATGCCATTCTTGATACATTGCTATTTATCCTCCGAAACTGTGCATTTTTAGCTCTGCCTGTAGTTCGGTCCAAGTGTGTTCGTTTATAGTGGAATATTTCTGCGCCAACAGTGCGACCCTAGTGTGTCTTCTGTAACCGGAACATTCCTATGACACATTTTATTCCCCCGACACCGGTCCAACCTTAAAGATACCCACTTGTAATTTAATTGATAACAAATCCCAATGGGTGTTCAGTAGTATAACGGATGGAAATTGAGCGTGAAATTAAAAAAATATGTTGCCGACAAATCCTGCAGTATTGAATTTCTAAGATACCTCGTTTAAGAACACACCATTCCTTTCGTTTGGGACGATCCGAGACAACCGTCTTATAAAATATTCATCCAACTGCAGAAGCTGGAGTTTATAGATCGAACAAGCAACTCTATTTTGAGTAATCTTTATTACTTTATGAATTTACATGCGGCTTGGCTCTGTATTAGACATGAGTATAAAGTCAGTTGCTGGTTCACTTAGGGCGGGTTTTATGATCGGAGGGTCAAGCAAATGTGTTTATTAGTCCCTGGTCGTAATCTACGATCAATTTGTTTTAACCAGTTTTACTGCCAGAGAAGTAGAATAAACTTTAGAAAGCATAGTATTTTAAACAGGATTCAATGTAATTTTAACTATCTTGACTTTGCACCAGACTGTGACATGTTTTGTTCCTCTCTCGCCGAGTTCAAAATACGGTTAAAGAATATTTGCTATCACTAATTCCTTTTGTTTTACATATGAGTATCTTTTAGTCTGTGTTGCATGCATAACTGACTGTGATATTTTATACTTGTGTTGTAATGTTGTTATCCATTCTGTTAGTGGACCCTTGGGTCTGTTGAATTGGAAATAAATAAATAAGAATACATTGGCAAACAAACATGCAGACACTGTTGCTTTTCCTTTTACGATTTTTTCATAGTAAATCGATTACAGAGCTCACAGCCAATGGATGCCATTAGCGCATTCAGTTTTTTATATATATATTCCACCCAGGAAATGATAGAGCTTGTATTTTCCCACGTTATTTGCGATCGACCGCACTCTTAAAATGACAATAACATCTTTGTATTTATAACCAAAAAGAAGGATAGTTTTTGAAATATAACTTCGCTATACCGCACCTGGCCCTTTAATAATCGAGTGCATTGCATTCCGATAAGTTTTCGTTATTGTAAGGTTACCAGTTCAGAATCTCCAATGTCTTTATCGTAAAATGTTACGCTAGTGTGTCTATTTTCAAGATAAAATTTATATCACGTTTGGGTATTTGTAAAATAAAACGTCAATTCATTGTCTCCTTCAATTTTTTCTATCAAAGTTTATATTAGAATCACAGCGGCAGAAAATCGAAACTGTAAAAACATTTGGGAGAGATATGTTTTCCAGAATTGACAAAGTGTGCTCTCTTCAACGATGATATCGATAAACAGCGCGTGACGTAATTTAATCATCTGATACAAACTAGACACCCCTAGATTCCTCAGCTGTCAAATTATATCAGTCAGTCAGTTAAATGGATGCGAAGGTTTAAATACAAATCAGGAAGATTTGGTTTCAGGAGTTGATGTGTATTTAAAATGAATGAAACATATACATGTACCGATAAAAAGTATAGTCATTTTTCTAATAGCTACATTGGTCGAGAGGCATAGAGTACCTGATTGGAATCCATATCTGGAGTTCTAGGCTAGCAGATCTATGGGTTCGAATACCCGGGTTGAGCAGATGTTTTCACCGACTGCAACGATTCACATTGTACATTTGTTTTGCAGTTGGTCTGTCCTTCCAATTTCATTCGCCTGTCAAGTTCCTTTAAAACTGTTTGTCTGTCTTTTTGTGCGTCAGTCCATCAACATCAGTTTTTCCGTTCTTCAGATTATTTTGTTTTCTGTCCTTGTCGCTTGTCCTCCAACATCCATCCATCCGTCCTTCCATACCGACTCATCTTGTCTGTCTTCTAAAAACAGAATTTCCGTCAGCCCTTCCAATTAAATACCCCTTTCTTCCATAGCGGTTTATTTTTATTTTTGTCAATATGTGTTTATATAGCCTAGGACTGTCCACACCAATTATGATGATATATTGACAGAAATGAACGGATTATAATTTTTGCGTGTAAACTCCCTTAACAAAGACATACCATTAACAATCTTTTCCAGACAGACCACATGAATTCGATTACGGTGTCGGAGAGAACCTTTAAGGACGACTGGTCTGTCAATGATCCAAATGTGTGATAAATTATTGAATCAAAATTAGTGTAGTTTCTCTTTAACTATTGTTAACGCGGTGCCAGGATGTATTGATTTCGTTCTGATCTGTAAAGTGGAACGTCCTGTCTTTTGGTGTTGTACCCTGAAACCTATCAATCATTTAAGTCTGTTTTCATTTGACGCAAATAAACTAGCTGATAAAAACTCACTCCTCAAAGATAAAATCTACCTTTTTCATCTCCCTTCCCGAACGATACTCTTGACTAAGGCCTACTGCTATACATAGTTACCGCGGTAAAGCGATGCAGTTTCCAACAAACATCCAAAGTCATCGAAACTATTCACAACTTGACGCTTATGGATGCATTCAATAAAAACAGAAGTACAAAATTATTTTAATTTGAAAATATTCCGATAGTGTAGAAAATTAAAAAAAACGTGCAGAAATACATGTATAGAACAAAAGGAAAACATTTTTTTTTATTTATTTAGCATTTATTTTTAAACTATCGGAACATTTTCAAATTAAGTAAATTCCATTTGACAAACAGACACGGTATGTCTGAGGAAAACACATCACAATCGTCATGGGAATGTAGAAAAAAAACATAATTAGAAATTAAACCGTATCTCTATTGCATGGCTTATATTCTATTTTATCTCAACATGGTGTCACGTACATCCGCATTGTGTTCAAAGTATGATCAGCTTAACGCGTCGTTGTTTTGTAGAAAATATACCACACTTTTATATAAAAGATTTACGTTCACTTCACATCATGCTAACCAAACTTTTAACAACACGGTCCTAATGTTAGTTTACTTTTTTATAAAGTTATAAAAACACATAATGGCGAATTCAAGTAAAGAAGCTATTACACCCAGCCAGTTATGATATATATATTATGTAAACTATTAGTTGTACGCATCTGTAACATTCAGCTTTCCCTCGGGTGTACTATGGAAACATCGATTTTTTTTATTTTATTTATCTTACGTATGGCCGGTGCCGGAACAATATAATCTAAAACACATTCTCTCGCACAGGCGACAAAATTGATTAACTTACAATCGTTTAGTTAAACCTTGAACATATGGACTATTCAAATTTCATATTTCAATCGGCGGAATACTAGGCATTTCTTTTAAGTAATATGAATCATTATTAACGTGATGATTTGAAGGGACATCGAAGGATGTAACGTAATAGTTGTGAAAAACGTTTTTTGTGTATGTGCTTAAATCACTAAAATGTATTGGACAAGCAGTACATTTTTACTCCTGACACATGTCTCTGTTGTTTTTTTTAGTGACGGAGGTCTACCTCGGTGTAGGCTGGTGTTCATTCCATACTTACAAAGTCAACGAGGCACAGTATTATGAGATTGTGTGGGAAGGGAGTGATCTCCCCTTAAGCTGCCGGATCGGGTTCGAAGGTCGTAACGCGCATGACGTATACGATCAATATCAGGTGTGTGTGGAGGCGTCGGAGTATCACGTGAGTGACTGCACGTTCCACATGAAATACTACGACCCCGGACGTCGTCAAAAACAGCTGGTAAAAGTAACTATATTTGATTGCCTCCCTTGTTATTGTTATTTTTTCTCCAAAGAACACATGTATAGCATTCTTGCCTCTCCTGACATCGGTTCTCTTTAACTTCTGAGCTGCTGAAAGCTAGTGGATAATTGCATATCATGGTACGTCTTTGTGTGTTGAGAAACACTCACTTCATTTTGCTTTGATGGTCAAGATTATTGCCATTAAGGCGTCAAAGGTCAAATTGTTGTATGCTTGTCATCACAGTCAATGCCACAGTTATAAGTCAAAGGTTAAATCATTACAAGAACATGATCAGTTTGGCGATTGCTAAAATGCGAGACATATCTCCATGAAAAAATATAATATGACAAGAGAGTATGGTTTGCATTACACTTCATTTCAAAGTCAGGAGTCAAAGGTCAAACTATATATATGTATACTAACCGGATAATTATTTTAGGACTCAAACTACAAAAAAAAAAAAGATAACACAATGCATAGGGTGTGGTGGTGGTGGTGAAAATTGTTTTGGTTTTGGTATTGGTAAACGGTGTTTATGGCGTTGCTATGGCGGTGATAGTATATGTTTATATCTCTGAACATAACTCTACAATATCTGTTGTTTTCTGTCTACGAACCTGAAACTACACGCAGTAATTGGAATTCTCTCGGCGTGTTCCAGAACCGGCGACGTCTGGATGACACATATTATCGACTAGTTGCACCTGGAATGCGAGAACATGTTTCACCGACGGACATTTTACGAGAAAATAAATTCAATTATACGTTGATCAATTGTTCCAAACCAGTTAAGTAAACTTTAACCATAGAATATTTAACGTCGATGCAGACTCTCAGGAAGACAATCTAATATGTGCCCAAAATATACAGTTGTAACCGTTTTACTTGCCATGTCAGGTTTCAAACTCAGCCGTCAACTCATGAATATTTCAGCAATCCTCCCCAGAAAATTCTTGAGATGTACAAACAGATCCTATTTTGTTTGATTGAAGGTAAATTAAATCTGATTTTAAATCTGTCACGTTATATTTTCCATTTCAAATCAACAGAATCTATATCTGGGCTCTGTGCTTTGTCAGCATACAAAACATGCTAAATAACCTTGAGTGATCGGTTTTATGTATCATCAGATGTGGGAAGACAACTAACCTAGAGACATTAAATAATGTTTTTCTTGTGTTTTATAACTTTTTTTTGGGGGGGGGGGGGGGGCTAATACACACGCATAAACCAAGCAAACCATGGAAATATACATGTTAACTTAAATACAGAAATATATAGCTGGTCTTTGGTCTGACCATGGAGAAACCCATAGTATATATACGCCGAATATCTCAATATTGTAAAATAGTAGATTTGCAACACGACACTTGATGCCTTTTAGAATTTGGCAAAATAGTGAGATTTAATGTTGATTTTTGTTCCTATGTCCTTTTCAATCAACTCAAACTTGAACATTCCCTTTTTTATCAGATATAAATGAAGTACAAAAAATAGTGCTTTTGATTTTATAAGATTGGTTGCCAATCGAAGACAGGGGCCCGCATAGTCGTGTAATTTGTTGATGTCTGGAATGATTCCAAGAAAGTCAAAGAATATTTCCAACAGCATGGCGACGATTAATGCAATGAATTGTTCGTTGCCTTGACGTTAACGAATTGCCCTACAGAGCGTGATACAAATATTTGATTTGTAGGTGAGAAATATAAAAAAAATAAATATCGAAAATTATCAGAAATAATGCATTTAGCAGTAATAAACAAATACAGGACTGGTATGTTTATTACATCAACTGCATGGTGCTTTCCTTTTACTCCCTTTATTATATGAAAAGAACAACGTAATTTTTGTTAACAATCTTTTCGATCTGGACAGAAAACGACGATATTGCGTTTAGACAAAGTATGGCTCATTCTTAGAAGCAAGGGCGACAACTCAGGATAGATCCTTGTCTGAACGACAACAGATAACCAATTGTCTGAACGACAACAGATAACCAATGGTAAACAAACAAAAATAGATAAATAAAACGTTGATCATATTTGCATTCGAGAGTGATCATTTTAAATACACTGACATGAAAATATAAATAACAAGTTTTCTGCAAGATGCTCTCCGTCGTAAGTAATCAATCCAACGTTATTCGTAAGTCGCTATAGTGTCAACGTTTAGTCGCGAGTGTCTGTCGCAAAGCCAAGATTTCGATTGATATTAAGTTTCTGCCATAAAGCTAATATTTAGACGTAATCTACTGTCGTAAAAGTAATGTTTAGTGGTATGTTGTTGTCGTAAAGAGAAAATGTAGCCTTGAGTTTCTGTTTTAGTTCATAACTACAGTAACTATAGCATTAAGCGTAACTGTACCAAAAATGATATTTCTGTAAATCATTTAAAGAAATGTGCATTGAAAATAATGTTCGAACTTGTTTTATTGATCAATCTCACGTGAGTGTTTTGTTGTATGTATGATAATAAACTTTAAGAAGATAGATTGCCAAACATTTGCCTTTTATTGTTAACAGTCTAAAGCATAATTTTAGCTGATAACATATTTGGGTGTTTTACGGATATTACATACAAATATGTCTTCTCGCCCTATTTGATACTAATTACAAAAGACAGATTCATAAAAGAACTCACAAAACTAATAGATAGACAATGTGTCGTGTCCCTGAAATGTCATTACTCAGAATGATTGAGAGGTTAGCTTGAAATGTCTTGGTAAGTGTATATGCAAGACAAACAAATCGTAGGGTTGGAAGGCGACAGACGGCGCCTTAAATGGGAATATACACCAGTGTGACATTCATTCCCAGTGAAACATCAAATTCACATTATATTCATTTTACCCATTTCCCTTCAATTTTCTGCCATATTTGATAGTCTTCTTAACAGCAGTTTTTTGCTTGGGTATGTTGATTGACTCTATAATGGTAATATATATAACACGCGTCCAGACCTTCCACTTTAGTGAAACAAATCAATAGTTACTTCACATAGGATTTTAACACAATATGCGATACATAACAAGAGAAGTGAAAGACATTTTTAAATAAAACATGACAATTTATAAATGTTATTGACATCCGTAAATGTGAATACGTTCTTGCTTTGGAAGTCGGGCGGTTGACACGTATCGAATTGTGGGTTTTATATACACAGAGGTTTCAGCCTAGGCGGTCGTGTTTCTCCTACCTTTTAACTGAGGATGTGTAACATTGTATTTATTTAAATTATGAATGGTTAAACCTTTCGTGTAAAGTTAAATAAATAAAATACAGCTTTATAATCGGATGTGATGGGTCATTGTCAATATATAACAGAATTTTCCGGTTATGCTTTTTCATTTCACTGTTTACAAGTTAAGCAAATTTCAAAAAGTAGTACTGTTCATTCAAACTTTAATATTGTAACAGTACGTCACGGGTTTCTGGATTTAACTTATTAAAACATCTAGGGTTACCCGACTTTCTGATAACAAGCGGTTGCATCTCCTCGTCGGTCATGTTAAGACACAATGCTACAGCACAAAGATGGTAATTTCTTCTTCCAATCCTACACGGTTTCTTAGTTTACATCTCGTCTTCTACCACTCAAAGTCCCTAATCCGATATTGTGTCGCTTAATGAAAACAGTGGTCGCCACCCTTGCGATGCTTTAAAGTCATTGTTCCTGAGATCAGAAGCAAACTTGAGGGCCGTCGTCTGCAATAACGGACCGGTCACATTACGGCACCTGTAAACCATTCCCACGTTAGGTCGTTTATCTCTTCCTTTCCTGTTAGATATCGGCGCCTTTTTGATGTTCCAGAAACATTTTTCTCATTTTTTTTCAACAGCTCGGATTTATGTTTACACGCATTTTGAATTTGTGGTGGTATTTTTCAACTCCATCTGCAATCGCGACTTTGTACGCTGGTTTTCCAGCATCTGACGATTTCATAACTTCGACATTTACTTCTGACGTTAGCACGTTTTTTTTTCAAGTCATTGTTGTACATGTAATAAACGAGAAGCGAGAAATGTACACGTTATGGATTCCTAGAAAAATGATCAACTCTACTTGCTGAAATCTTGATGTCGTTTTTCTGTTGGGAGAATTGTTAATTTGGTGCCCGGTTGCGACTGATTGCGGTTTTATTTATGGTTTTGCTCTTGTAATGGTCGCTAAACTAGGGATATATTTTGTATGAGGCTTAAAATTAACGGTCGCCTGTCGCTTCATACTAAATGCTTATATAGCGAATGACATCAGGGGGATTGTTTAGGTCATATATGACAGAAATTCGCTGAATATAGAAGGTCTTTAAGGCAAGTTTGAATATGCATGAGCATGTGATAGTATAACAAAGGGTCGTTAAGGCATGTTTAATTGTGCATGACCATGCGGTATTTATAACTAAGTAATACACTGTTGGCATTCATAGGCAATGTGAATGTCAAATAAATTAGAAGACTGCATGAAACACGCTAAATGTTGTTTATCATTGCCAACTGAAAAGATTTATATAGGGATTATTTATAACTTTCTTGTCTGTGTACTATAGCGCACATACATTTTTGATATGACGAGAGCTAGTAGAAAATTATAACGTTCAATTTATATTAAATCTTAAAAAGTAAGTCAGCAATTATCAATAAGATGAGCTTTTTCACGAATACCGTGCTTTTGACGATGTTGTTAGCCAATGAAACTATTTTGACGGACATACACTCTGAAAATCGTAGTCATTTGTGCGATTGATTCTGATACACTCACCACCAATTATATGTAACATGGCGTCCAACGTTATATTGGCAAGCTTAAAATTGTATCATAACTCCTAAGAAACAGAATAAATGTTGGAAACCTTTGCTGACGTCGGAGTGAGTCACTTGGTAAATATTGTATTTTAACTTTTAATCCTAGAGCTATTCGTGTGGATTTGGGCCCGGGAAGTACTGCGCTGTTGAGAATGAGAACTTTGTCATTGAATTCAGCAATTTCCGGACATCAACATCCGTCGTGCGGCTGATGGTGACGGCGAAGAAAACTTATGACTGTAAGTATGACGTCACTTCCTGTACACTTACATAAACTTGTATTAAGTCACGGATCATTTTTATTATATTCTAATTAGTTTCACAACAGAAGAGTTGTGTATTTTTGATTTCCACGATTTTATTGCGTTTCGTTGTCTTTTCATTATTTCCGTTGCGTTTCGTTTTATTTCACTTTGGTACATTGTATGTTTCGCTGTGTCAGATTTGTGTGTCGCGTGTGTAATTAACGATCTAAAATGACAGTCAACTCTAATTGCATTGACATTTGTATTTTAAAAATTTGAGGTTTATATTGTACTTTAACTGACCAGATAAAGCATAATAATAATAAATAAAACCGTTGTAACCGGTAAATTGACTGGTTAAGATGAACATTGAACTTTTGCTATTTATGAAGCTGAATCCAGCATTGCTTTATGTTTCGACGTTGCATTTCCATTTAGCAACTTAGCGACATTTGTTTTTTTTACTCTAACTCAATGAGTTATCATCTCGAGAAATTTCTCTGACGTAATCACCTGGTTTAGCTCAGCAGCCCAAATGCCACACTGGGAGTTTGGAATACATTTAAATTTCACGCATTACCAAATACAAATGAAACCACAAAAAAATACAATAAATCCAATTGCCGGAAGCGAGAATATTTTTAAGTTGGTAAATGACGTTCCGCCTTCATCCGGATTCAGCTTAGAATGTCTCCTCTCCCACGCGAATGAGCTGATAAGCTAGGAGAGGGAAATTAAGTTCCACAAGAGGTCTCAATCAAATGTTTTTACCATAAAGTTATCAATTTCCTTGGATTATTTGTACCAACATTTGCATTTTTTCTTTATTCATGTCTCTCATCATCAATTAATTTTCGAGACGAGTATATAAACACATGTAAATATATGAAGACTAAAATGTAGAATTCATTACGCCAATCGAGGACCCCGAATAAATGCTATTATGCAAGACATTCCCGAAAACAATTAGGTTGTTTTTGTTTCAATTGTGCTTAAGTGGTCACTAGTAAAACATTCACACATATCATCGATTTCCTATCAGGTGGCACGCTTTTTTTATCATTATGCACCATTATTTGGCACTGACATTAGAAACTATAACTCTACATCATGTGATGTCATGACCACCTGTTATTGAAAGTCTATACAAGACAAAAACTGAATACAAATTCTGGAGAATACCGAGGCCATGTGGTTCTGTATAGCATGCAGGCAAGTTATTGAAAAGTATATCCTTACAGACACGGCAATCAAAGCTAGGTGACAAGTCTTGAAGAATAATGAACAAAAATGGTATTTGAAGCCAGAACATGTCATCTTGAAGTACAACGAAGGAAATTCACGAAAAAAAAGTTGCTGACGTGTTGAAGAAATCTAACAAAAGCCTACAACACTATTAGAAAGCACAATCTGACGTCCAATATGCAGTCTAAAATACAAACATATCTGATGAAATTCTTGATTGAAAACAGAGTGAAAATAACGTCCTTATTTTCTGCGTCAAAGGCTCACAAAACAAATAGGAAACGATACTTAGGGTCGTCTGAACGAGATGGAGGTTTTATATAACAGTTATCTAGGTTTTATTTGGGATATTTTTGTAAATGTCATACAAATAGGTAACAACAAGGAAACGACAACGTGAAGTCGGCAAAACAATAAAGGAAATCGCCCAACGCTACTCAATTCTACGAGCCTAAATGTTCAATTCGAAATGTTCAGTGACATAAAACAAACTGTACTAGATGAAAAGCGAAAAAAATAATAGGAGGTTATAAATAGCAATAGTTAGCCAAACGAAACGTTTAACGGAGGAGAAACAGGAAATGAGCCAGCGATATTTTAACGGATTTTTGCTTCTTCTTTGCTTCCTCCCATACTTCCACCTTTCTGTCTTCCTTGTGTCTACTCGTGTCATGTATAATTTGCATATTTTGCTCTTTTTCTGGATTCCTGCTTATTACTTGTCGTGTCCACAGAGAAATCCAGAAAAAAAGAGCAATATTAATATGCACATTCTGCATGATACGAGTAGACTCAAGGCAGAGAGAAAGTTGGAATTAGGGGAGGAAGCAAAGAAGAAAACATTGGAATCGGAGAAATTCAAATCTGAAGACAGATCCTTCATTGGGTACTATAACAGGTATATGTATAACGCATATACCAGAATAGACTAAAGGAAGCAGTGTATGGTAAAAAACAAACAACGTTTGTGCAAGAACATTTATTCACATTTCAGTCGTGACTCGAGACTTAAATGATAGGGGCTAAAATCAGGACTTCAAACCCCGAACATTTAGACAGTGTAAGTAGAAATACAAAACGCTGAGTAAAGAAGGAGAAACATTTTGATCTTGATAATTGTTATATTAATGAATTTTGCGAAGAGGAAGTGTTAAGATTGTACATGCATGTGTCATGCTCGTATACTACTGGTGTCATAGGGAAATGGATGATTTCATGTATTAATCATTATGGTAGATGCGGGCAATGATGACGTCATTATTGTACATATTGTCGTATCATGTAAATATTCCATTCTTTACGTCACAATTAAAATCATATTAATCCGATGAATCAGAATGTTCCGATGTACGATCTGTCGAAATGCATCGTGGTCACCGTTTTTGTCGTCGTCGTCAAATGCTTTTTTCATTTCTGAGTAAAACATGTACTAGTACTGTGAGCTTAGTTTGACTTAGGCATTGTATGATAGACTATAACGTGGGGAATGTGTTTCCAGCTCGTTTTAGTGGAATAATCAACATTTTCAAGTTAAAGACATGATTCAGTATCGCAAGAAGCAATTATGAACGCATCAAGCAAGAAACACGCATTTAACTTCATTTAGCCATTCAGTGAATTTGCAAGAATTACCAATATTTGATCAATTTGATCAATTTGATCTTGAAGTCAAAACAATATTGGCACAGCGATACATGAAGGCATCGTGCTCGCATTAACCCAACAACTAGCTGTTAGCTTCCGTTGGCCTTCTTGTGGTAATATAATTCACGAATGCGCGATCGCGAACTTCACATTTCATGCCGGTACCTGCAATTTTATTTCATGTCATGGGCTAAATTACATTGTAAATCATAGTTTTACGATGGTAGGAGGAATAATTCTAAATACAATTATTTAAATCTGTCAATTTCAATTCCGTTTGCAGAACGTGGGCGCTCGGAATGCCATAACAACCGTAGATTTCCAAATTCGGCCATGGAAAACGATGTCAGATATATTCACTTAAAATAACAACTTGTACACAAAAGGCCGCTATAAGATATACTAGATATTTTAAACATCGTTATAATACAACAAGTTAAATCAACAATTTACAAGAATTTGTGTACAGGTTTCATCACTGTTGTGTTACAAAAATACATATTCATATGTAAAGCTCAATACATCTGACACGCTAATTAGAGAAATGACTTGTTACTAGATCGATACTGAAGTTTAAGAAATAAATGTCCTAATTATAAAAATACAATAGATACGTTTAACGTTTCCTACAGAAGTAGATGATGTTTGGTTGCCTGTTGAAGATCATTACATATCCACGAGTGTGGTAGAATATTAATTCAATCAAGTGCGCATAATAAAATTCTTTCTGTTATGTGGATATGGTGGTCAAGTATAACAAAAACTCCAAAATTTGTCTTCACTTAAACAGAATTAAAATAGTCATCTTGGGTGTTTTCATTGGGTAAACATCTAATAGAAAATGCTATGTTTTAGTATTCTTCAAGCCGTTTTTTCGAATTGCTGAAGAACGAAAATAAATCGTCTTGTATATGTCTATATAAGGATGCTACCGGGATTCCCAAACGGCATACCCCCAGTTAACCCTCAGTCTGTTGTTTGACATTACGTAAAATAGATTTCAGGTATACAAGACTTTCAGAAACATTTTGATGATGGACTCTATTGTTTTTGTTACGACTAACATGCTGTAACAAGTTTTTTTGTTAGTTGTTTTTAATATAATCTGTAATTGTTATGGATATAGATGAGTACAGAGGGTTCCCGAGCGTCTCGCCAATTCGGCGTCATTCGAGACTTTACGGAGTACACTGATTGATTATACCATATGGACGTGACATATAAGTGCAGTGGTATTTGGAAATACCGAATTATTTAAGTAGGAAATGAAGATTGATCGGTGTGTGTTTTTTAAAGGTTAGTGGAAGAGAACTTTACCGATATAGTCGAGATGTTCTATATATATATGTAGCATTCTTTTTCCGTCCTGTTTTAAGATTCACGTGTAAACAGCGTTGAAATATGGAAACCATGAAACAAATCAAAGGAATAAATTATGGTATATGAGCAGAGCACTGATTCAACATTTCCGGGGACCCCAATCACATAGGTGAAAAGATTACAGGATATATGTAATGGCCATTCTGATATCTAAAATGTAATTAGCAAACAAATCAGAGGGTCAAACCGATTTCGCTTTAAACTACTTAGTTTTTATTATGAAAAGTTCTTTTTACACAACCAATAAGAGTTTCTATGTGACGTTCGATGACTAGTACAGTATGTCCACTGTCACATTCATCAGACATATGACCGGTGAAGCGTATGCACACAAAGGTGTAAAATGTATACGCGTTGTCCACAAAATCGATGTCGATTCGGCTACGATGTAAGCGTATGTATAATTGTTGTTATATATGTACCGAAATGACTCGATTCAGCTACGCTTTGTGCAATACTTGGTCATAAATGTGCGAGAGTCTTTGATCATCGACATCGATTTTGTGGACAACTCGTACAGATTTTACACCTTTGTGTGCATACGCTTCACTGGTCATTTGTCTGATGAAGGTGGTAGTGTACATACCGGACTGTAAGAGCTTTTTATAGACCTCCTTTATAGATCCCTTTGTTGTATTTCTACATATGGTTCTGAACACATGGATGTTCACTACTTTGTTGAGCTGCGGTGGCCAAGTGGTTAAGGCGTCTGACATTCTGCTACC